TATATATGTGTGTGTGTATATATATATATATATATATATATATATATATATATATATATATATTAATATCAGGGCTGGGTGATATGGGCAAAAATTCATATCTCTGTATTTTTTGGCCGATTTGCGATATACTTTATATATCTCAGTATTTTCGTTTTTTTATTTTTTAAAATCTGTTTTTAATATATAGATATTTCACTTACCACCTATAATATATACAGTATCTCTCAGAAGTGAGAACACCCCTCACATTTTTGTCAATATTTTATATCTTTTCATGTGACAACACTGAAGAAATGACACTTTGCTACAAAGTAGTGTGAGTGTACAGCTTGTATAACAGTGTAAATTTGCTGTCCCCTCAAAATAACTCAACACACAGCCATTGTCTAAATCGCTGGCCACAAAAGTGAGTACACCCCTAAGTGAAAATGTCCAAATTGGGCCCAATTAGCCATTTTCTCTCCCCGGTGTCATGTGACTCATTAGTGTTACAAGGTCTCAGGTGTGAATGGGGAGCAGGTGTGTTAAATTTGGTGTTAGTATGAGTGCTGCCAGCATTGCTGCAGAGGTTGAAGGGGTGGGGGGGTCAGCCTGTCAGTGCTCAGACCATACGCCGCACACTGCATCAAATTGGTCTGCATGGCTGTTGTCCCAGAAGGAAGCCTCTTTTAAAGATGATGCACAAGAAAGCCCACAAACAGTTTGCTGAAGAGAAGCAGACTAAGGACATGGATTACTGGAACCATGTCCTGTGGTTTTCACTTAGGGGTGTACTCACTTTTGTGGCCAGCGGTTTAGACATTAATGGCTGTGTGTTTAGTTAATTTGAGGGGACAGCAAATTTACACTGTTATACAAGCTGTACACTCACTACTTTACATTGTAGCAAAGTGTCATTTCTTCAGTGTTGTCACATGAAAAAATAAAATAAAATATTTACAAAAATGTGAGGGGTGTACTCCTGTGAGATACTGTATATATTTCACTTACCGTCCAATGTTGTCCAACAAAACAATACATATTAAAGGCTATGAAAACAAATAAAGTGAATGGAACCATGTAAGCCTTTATATCATGTGCAAAAAAAAGGGTTAAAATCACATTTCATTCTAACATTGTAACATTGCAATCTAAAAACAAAAATAAGGCTTTTAAAGCGGAAGTTAAATTCACTAAACTAAAAATGAAAATAATTGAGAACAAAAGCAGTTGTTAGGCTATTTTGATTACCCCGTTAGTCACTTTACAGTCAGTGCTATTATAAAAATAGACTTACTTGTAGGTTTAAAATTCTACATGTCACATTTATTGTCCAACTACAAATATTTCAGAGAAATGTATATTTTAGTCAGAATTATTGCGCTGATATTTAATTGAGCTCCGTCTGTTTGGCGCGCATGCACGGTGCTCGTTCACTGAAGTCTGTGTGAAGTTTAGCGGAGAATCCCAAAGCAGAAGGCTCATGCACTTCTGACAGAAAAATGGAAATATTTCCATGACTTTCTAACATTTACAGATGGAGAATATACCTGTGAAATGTAAGTTATGCTTTCAGGAAGACGGCACATCTCAAACACATTAAACAGCGCGAGTAGCCGAGTGTCTCTGTCAGCGGCACATGCAGCCTTTCAGTCAGAGCATATGACGGGCCGAGCCGCTTAAACTAATATGCGAAACGAAACCATAAATTATACTGTCTTACCAGTTTTTAAAGGCCTTAATATGAAGCTTGTCACATGTTTAGAACAAACTGGATTATGCACTTTCTCCGCAGCAGCTCAGTCTGTGTCCTCTGCTATATTTTCAGATGCGTTCGTATCAAACTACTGTATATCGATATAAATGGTATTGGCTCATATCGAATCGCTTCTAAAGAAAACATCGATATATCGTACAAACTCAATATACCGCCCAGCCATATATATATATATGTATATCATTAAAAAAAAATTATTAATGTATTTAACACACCCTGCTTGACAACCCTACTATTTGTTTTAAAACAATTTCTTTGTTTTTACATTTGTTGCAAAAAAAATCATTCTTTTGAACATTCTATTCATCAAATATTAGAATGATTTCTGAAAAATCATGTGACCTGACAGATATCAGTCAAATGCGTATCCTGACATTTATCTTGCATCAGTAGTTTGTTTCAGAGATATTGTAAGGGGACTATCAGTTCCATCTTCATCTTATGTGTTTTCCTTTCTCGGGTCTAGAACTCCACCCCGTCACCGCCGGAGCCCCTCCCCTCCCTCCCGACTGCACCACTCCCCATCTTCACGCTCTGGCTCCTCAGCCCAGAGACACTCCCCATCTCCTCGCCACAGACGGGGTTCTATCTCTCCTCTTTACCGAGACCTTCCTCCTCCATCCTCATCCTCACCACCTCCCACTCAATCCTCACGTCGCTCCCGCTCTCCGCTCACCCCGCAGAGAGACACTTCACCGACACCCGGTCCTCGCAGGTCCAGCCCCAGTGCCCGTCACCGCTCCCAGGGTGGGGAGAGGGGGAGATCAGAGCGAGACAGGAGTCCCGCACTGCAAGAGAGACGGCATGAGCGCAGAGATGGTGAGAGAGACACGTCACAGAGTAATTATTGAGAAGTGGGGGGGAGGTGTTAAGTAAAGGATTTAAATGGATAAAGACAAAAGAAGAACTGCAAAGTATCCTATATTTTCAATTCAAAACTGCAACATTTTACAAAGTCCAGTAGTTTGCGTCACAAGATATTACTGCTGGTTGTTTAACATTTCTGTCATAAAACAGTTGTCAGATATTTTGATATTTAGTTACTTGCATCTTAAAGGGATAGTTCACCCATAAATGAAAATTTGATGTTTATCTGCTTACCCCCAGGGCATCCAAGATGTAGGTGACTTTGTTTCTTCAGTAGAACACAAACGAAGATTTTTAACTCAAACTGTTGCAGTCTGTCCGTCTTATAATGGAGGTAAATGGGAATCACGGCTTTGAGAGTAAAAAAAAAAAACATACACAAACAAAACCAAATTAAACCCTGCGGCTCGTGACGATACTTTGATGTGTAAAGACACAAAATGATCGGTCTGTGCAAGAAACTGAACAGTATTTATATCTGGGTTTTTTTTACCTCTGATGCACTGCAATGTCTGAACTTTCCTGAGCGCGTCCTCGACATCCGGCGTGTGATGCATCTTCTTTATGCATTCTTGTGCATTACCACCACCTATCTCTCAAATGGACCATTGACACTCTTATCTACAATCTCAATTAGGAGTGTCAATGGTCCATTTGGCATAAGTCTGCGATCCGCCGTAAAGGAAGAAGACAAGTCACGCGCTGGCTGTCGAGGACGCGCTCAGGACAGTTCAGACATTGCAGTGCATCAGAGGTAAAAAACGATAAACGATAAATACTGTTCAGTTTCTTGCACAGACCGATCATTTCGTGTCTTTTACACATCAATGTATCGTCACGAGCCGCAGAGTTTAATTTGGTTTTGTTTGTGTATGTTTTGTTTTTTTTCCCTCTCAAAGCCATGATTCCCATTCACTTCCATTATAAGACTGACAGACCGCAACGGTTTGAGTTAAAAATCTTTGTATTCTACTGAAGAAACAAAGTCACCTACATCTTGGATGCCCTGGGGGTAAGCAGATAAACATAAAATTTTAATTTTTGGGTGAACTATCCCTTTAACCTACAGACGGAGAATATACCTGTGAAATGTAAGTTATGCATCCAGGAAGACAGCACGAGTAGCCGAGTGTCTCTGTCAGCGGCACATGCAGCCTTTCAGTCAGAGCATATGACGCATATGAGCATATGCACTCCTGCATCACTTAAACTAGTGGTCGACCGATTATATCGCCAAGGACGATATATCGGCCAATATATCGGCCAATATTTGGCATTTTTCAAATATCCCCATAGGCCGATAAGTTTTTCTGTTTGACCAATGCTTTTATTTTGACTGCGCTGAGAACGGTAGCGTCTGACTCTTTTGAGCACACAGTGCTCACATTCTCCCTCTTGTTCGCTGTCGTCGTTAACAGTTCTGTCCACGAACAGAAATCTGTCTAATAATCAGATAGAACTGTTAAACAAAGGAATTAAAATGTATACAAAGTATTATAACGATTGCTTTTATATTTTTAGTAATAGAAAGGCAAACATTATAATGCTTTCTCGTTTGCCGTCAGCATTCAGCAAATACGCATTTATATCATTTAAACTAAATTTTGAATGAGTAATGAATATCTAATTTCAAAAAGCTTGCAAACTTCAGCTGTGAGATCTTCTGAAGTGTGCATTTGTATCCTGCATGATCGCGTGTTCTCTGCGTGACAGTCGAATTGAGTACGGACAGGAGGAGAGTTCAGCTTCACTGAGATGCGCGATCGAAAAACTTTAAACTCATGATTTTAAATTATGCTGCTCTTCATGCTTTTGCCCAATGTCATATTCATATAATTTTCACTGTGTGCTGTATGTAAAATGAGTGTTACCTTGGTTTTATTTGAAAAAATGTGATTCCCAATGCACACAAACTTCCCAGAATACTGAGTGCCCTGTTGGTTACAGTGTTTACTTCCTTTTTAATTGTTTTTTTATTAAATATTTGTTTATTTGTGAAAAATACTTTGTCATTTAAAGTATAAGCATGTTTATTTTACACACTTATTTTTTTAATCCATTTTCAAATGATTTCAAATTTCTTAAATATAAAATAAAATTATAATGGCCATCGGCCTCCCTGCTTTCCAAGATATCAGCATCGGCTGTCAAAAAAACAATGTTGGTCGACCACTAATTTAAACACTGAAGCGTCATGCTGGAATTCTTGTTCGGTATTAGTGATCAGTAAATCCCACCTGATTTGATTGGCCATCTTAAACTGGGGGCAACAATTTGGCCATTTCTATTATTGAGAGGGACTAGTCCAACTCGATGTCTGTTTTAAACCTATTGTTATCCATCAAAACACTCAGTTAGAGACTTGTTCAGACCCACAACTGACTTCACTGACCCACTTATGGCACATTTTATGTTGTCTTAACCATGTGATGCATAATTTAGGTTCATAACGCATGCATTATTCAGTTTGACTGGTTGTTCATATGACAATGCAAGTACAAATACCATTCAAAAGTGTTATTTGGTATGTTTTTTTTTTTTTAATTTATTCAATGTTATCAATGTTAAACATTTGTGCTGCTTGATATTTTATGAAAACAATAATGCATTTTTGCTGAGTGAAATTAATTTATTTCCCCCCAAAAAACTCACTGTCCCCACGCTTTTGACATATAGACACAAATATAGATTTGTTGTAATGAGTAGTGGTGATATTAAAGGGGTGGTTCACTGGGTTTTTTCTAGGCTTGATTGTGTTTATGGGGTGCAGTCTAACATGTTAATTTTCACATAATTTACCTTTATTCCACACTAGAGGTCTGCGCAGGACTGTTTTTTTTAGTCCTGCTCTCGCAAGGTTCTATTCCGCACCCACCCCCTCCCGCTATATATTCACTCTGTTCACCCGCTGTCTACTTAGAATCATTTTTCTCCTGACCCGACCGTTTCCGTTAAATTTAGATCTTGTTTCCAGAATCTCACATTTAAATTTCCGCTACTGAAAGAGAGCGAGATATGCGGACAAATAAATCGTTGTCGGCACAAACTTGTATGTTATTTTATTCGTCTTGTCAAGAGTATTGAATTTATTGACTTAGACTTGAATTTATGAATTATCTTAAGACAAAACATTTGTTTAATATTTTATGCAACAGTAGGAAAAAAAGTGTCAGAGAAAATAAAAATGTTGTACAAAAATTGTATTTCTTATTTTTATTCGTCTTGTCAGGATACAATTAGTTTAACATTGACAACACAATAGGAAAAAAGTGTCTCGGAGAGAAAAAAAATGAAAATGTAGGTTGTACAGAAATAGCCTATTAGCTATTTTTATTCGTCTTGTCAAAATACTAAATTCGTTTGACATTTTTCTGTTAACACAGTAGGAAACGTGTCGCAGAGAAAAATAAATACGAAGTCTTTCATTTAAAATGATAGGTTAAGCAAAATATAAACAAAACTGAGTTGAACGTCCTTCAAGGACAGGTCATCCACACTTTGCTCCATCCTTATTCTGCTCTCTCACTCATCGACAACCTGACTGTTCTGTCTGAGGGCCATATATTTACCACAGGTACAGCCTGCTCTAATCATTATTCACATGCACAGACCACGCAAATAAAACGTGTGACGTTTAAAGCATGCATGCAGCGCGTGCATCCTGAGCGCAAGCTGTACCGGTGGTCAGTAAGAATAAAGCACAGATATGCTGTTCTAAATGGACGTCGGGAACGGGATATTTATAGACCGCCCGCTCCCGTTCAAATTACAAAAGAGTTACCGACAGCTACCGTGTTTTATTCGGGAGCTTAATCCCGCGGCGCAAAAAATCCGGTCGATCCCGAGGGAGAGCTGCAGGATGGCAGACTTCTATTCCGCACAGCTCTGTCCCTTCTCTGAGAAATGGGCTGATCTTTTCCTGTTTTTATGAAGCCCCGCCCTCAGAAATAGGCGATGGGCTCTGATTGGTTAGCTAGCCCAGTGTGTTGTGATTGGCTAAACCGCCTCTAGTGCGTGTCTAAACGTCCTGCCCCTCTCCTCAGCGGCATGTGCTCCGGTTGTATTGTAAACAACAGCATCATTAATATCGCCTATCAGTTTAAGCCCGATTGAGAAGCAGAGGATATTATTGAAGAGGATTGTGCAGAACCTGTGCAAGCACGGCTGTTAATGGTAGGCCTATGTTTTTTGTTTGTTGTTGTCTCATACTTTTAGATATGCTGTTATTTGTAAATCCTACTGCTTATGTTAGCTTTTAATATACAGTTTTATCCTGATTAAAGCTTTAATACAGAACAGCAACCGCATGCATGTCCATGTTTAATGCTTCTCATAGCTATGTGAAAATAAGTGTATAATTGGAACAGTTCATTGTTGGAGCCGAGCTGAATGGGAGAGAGAGATGCAGAGCAGGGGAACGCAAGGAACAGTATTGAGAACCGCTGCTTTTGAACATTGATTTTGAAACTTGTGAATCCATTAGAATCGTAAGACAGAATCGCGATTCATATATGAACAGATTTTTACGTGCACCTCTAGTTTTCTCTTCCTCTTCTCTAAAGCAGCCGCAGCATGGCTACCCCTTTGCTGCCTTTTGCAGAGGGCGGGGTTTATATGGGTTTGTGATGTCACGAACCTGGGAAGTAACTCGTTGTAGTCCCTACCAGCCGTTTTTGTAGGCTAAACTGCCAGAATTTTAAAAGACGATATTTCCGTTTGCATTGAACTTTCAGCTTCGTAACTTTGCAGATATTGTTTATGCTCAAACAGCAACATTAGACACTAACTAACGTTAAAAAAGTGAAATCGCAATGAACCACCCCTTTATAAAAATAAAAAAGTCTGGGTGACATGTAACACCGCTAAACTTCCCAGTCTTTGTTTTTTTTTTGTTTTCTTCCTTTTTTGGGTCATGTAGCCCTGTATGGATGTGGTTGTTTGGTTTCCACCATACTTTTGGCCATGTGCAGCTAATTAATAATTTAGTCAGTGACAGCCTTTTAAATCTGCTGCTAACTTAATTTCCTTTCTGCCCTTAGAGAGCCGCGGAAAGCGTGAGAAAGACAGCAACCGTGACGAGCGAGACTATGAGATCGAGCAGAGCTCTTCTCGAGATGACCGTGATGCCAGGGATGGCCGAGACCGGCGTGGTGAACGGGATAGAAGAGATGTCCGGGAAGAGCGCCAGCACCGCGGGGAGGCCAAAGACACTCGGGATACCCGCGCAGGAGAACCGCGAGACCGCTCGGGACGAGAATCCCTGGAGCGTAGAGAGAGAGACCGGGACCGAGAAAGAGAGAGGGAACGAAATGAAACGACAGCCCAGGAGGAAAGGAATTATGGAAGAGGACATGGAAGGGAGGAATTGAGAAATGACAGTAGAGTGGACAACAGGAACGAATCTCGGGCTGAAAGAACAGGCAGAGGCAGGGGCCGTGGGGATGCCACAGAGAAAGGTGTGAAGATAACGACATGCTATATTCTTTGTCAGCTACATCTAAAAAGAATCGCTTTTATGTATTCCCCAATTGTAAGTCGCTTTGGATAAAAGCGTCTGCAAAATGACTAAATGTAAAAAGTGCGAATACACATCAAAAATACCACTTTAAAGCATAAAAAGCTGGAGGAGAGAGTGCTTACACTTAGAAAATGCTAGTAAACATCAATACAAATTGTACTTTTCACAAAATCTAACATTTATTAATTGCATTTTAGGAGTATTGCGATAATATGAGTGCTTGAAACAAATTTTGGGCAGAGGATTGTGATGAATTTTGTGTGTCAGGTTCTGTTCGTGGTGGTAGAGCGTCACAGGCTGACACTAGCAGTGCTAGCGGGCATGACAGCTGGGAGTCCCGCAGCAGTGGTCTGAGAGAGAGGAGCTCAGAGAGAAACACTGATCGTGATCGCTACGATAATGACAGACAGAGAGGGGAACAGCCCAGAGATGAACGGCGGGGAGGACATGTAGAGAGAGACCGACGTGACATCAGAGAAAGAGGTGACTGATAAGCAAGAGATGTTGTTATTATTATTATTATTATTATTATTATTATTATTATTATTGGGAGATGCAAACCTCATTTGCATTTAGTATGCAAATGTTCACTCTAACGGCAGGTAGAGATTTACAGAGAAAATAAACAAAACATCCTGTTCAAATATTCTGACGGTGCTAATACAGGTAACGAGTGGAGGACAGAGGAGCCTCTTAAAGAAGAAGTTACAGGTCTGTGAGAGCCAGAAATCTTGCTTGTTTGTAGGTGACCAAATACTTATTTTACCGAGGAATTTACCAATTAATTCTTTAAAAATCCTACAATGTGATTTTCTGGATTTTTTTTCTCATTTTGTCTCTCATAGTTGAGGTATACCTTTGATGAAAATTACAGGCCTCTCTCATCTTTTTAAGTGGGAGAACTTGCACAATTGGTGGCTGACTAAATACTTTTGCCCCACTGTACTGCCATATTAAACTCCATGTAATCACCTAAGTTGGATATAGTGTTAATGAAAACTGCCCAAACACACACTTTTTCTTCATCTTTTTTTTTTTTATGAATCGTTTTATTTAAGGCTTGAATTTTTCTGGCTGATTTCTGGGATGCAATACATGAAACCCCATTAACCAGCTATTTTGGATGTCTAGTATCCGAATTACATATGCCATAACACCTTTTTACTATAGTTAAAGCAATCTTTAAAAAAAAAAGGGATTTGTGTCCGACAATTCAGTAAGCTTTAAAGCTTGAAGGATTTGATTGGCTATTTGGTCTGTCAGTCATTCATCTGTTGTAAGGTCAATTGTCTGCCTTTAATTTTGATTGATCTATTTTTGGAAAAAAAATTGTGTTTTGTGTAATTTTATTGACAAGCATGTTGAAGATTAGTCGGTAAACTGTTTCCTCACAAAAGCAGTTTTTTTCAGCACACTGAAGAATCTCCTCCATTGGCATCCATTCAGAAATGGTCTCTTTCTTCTCCCCAGTGTACCACATAGCATTATGCTTTTTTCCCCCCTAACTTTGAAAGCTCACCTTAAAATTTCTCTGACTAAGCACTTTCTACCTCAAAACTTAAAGGCATAGTACAATCGAAAATTAAAGGGGTCATGAAATGCATTTTTAAAAATTATTTTATAATGTTCTCTGAGGGTCACTTATAATGTTAGTGTGATTTTACATTAAAAAAAAAACAATTTAGATGTAATAGGATATTTTCTATCCTGTTTTTGAGTCTCTCTTCAGAATGGTCTGTTTTTTTAAGTGGGGCGCATTCAAGACACGCAAGTAAACACCCACTGCTATGATTGGCTAACAGTTTCGCTTATTAAAATAACAGATGGAAGCTGCTGTGAGGTACTCTGAAAACAACATGGGTCATTCGGGTTAAAAACTTGGTATATTTCAAATGGTCTGGAACAGAGAATCAGTATTGTTTACTTTCAGTCTCTCTGAAAAGCCTGCATCATACTGTCTTGTTTAAAAATGAATCCGTAGCAAAGTAAAGCAAACAAATGGTGTTTCACTGACGCGATCTGGAGCTCTTTGCTAATTTTACACCGTGTTTACACCGGACGTGAGAGGTGCAACACGACTACAGACAACAGAACCCATTATAATCTGTGATTCTGTCTACACTGGATGCGCGACGGATTGACACAACAAATCTCAGACAGTAAACTGATGTCCCGCTCTATTTCTGACATACAAGCATTCGCGCACTGCTTCTGACCTGAAAGAGAAATTTATTTGCGACATGACGCAACAGCGCTTGCGTCCGATTTAGATATGTAAGGATCACAAGGAAGGCAGTTCAAAGACTATTTTTCACAGCTTAAGCCCTGTTCACACTGCCAGCGACTTTTTCGTTGTATGTCGCTAGACTCCGTGCTGTGAAGACGGCTGTGGGCGTTCCTACTGCTGTCGCTCTAATGTTATTCGTAGACTGCATGTCTGGACATATCTGGACATATAAAATGCAATCACAAACTATATATTGCCGGTAAAATTAAGAGATCATTCTATTATGACTAGGAATTAGACTTAAAAGAAATAAAAGTACCATTCTGCTTTTGGAGAGTGTTGTTATATAAACTACAGCAGTGCTCGTTCATTAAATCATTAACCGGTGCTAAACTGCTTACATAATTAAACTCGAACCATCAATGTATGAATCAAACTCACTTAGACAGCCAACAGTTTCTTTTCTACGCATAATTTCTTTTAATGTCCATGTATGTGGTTACAGTAAAATCATATAAAACCGTGAAATCTAGGGCTGTTGCGGTGAGGGAATTTCTCTTGCGGTAATTGAGTATGTGGTATTATCGACACACACACACACACACCGGGATATATATATATAATCTGTGTGTTGGTGTTACGATATAACTAACAAGGTCTTATTCAGAAACCGAAACCAAATAGCGTTGAAACAGGAAGTGAAGTAAACAAGAGAATGACAAAATAACGGTCTACATAACAGAACATGAACCTGACAATAAGATCGTTAGGCTATCGTTAGCCTATGTGTATAACAGTTAGCCTAGTTGTAATCTGATTTTCTAATCTGACTGGACAAGAGACTTTCTATTGATATTTCCACCGGCCCGCGACGGGCTGTCAGTCAGTGCAGTTACAGTGTTGCGCCACAAGGTGGTGGAAAGGGACTGTCTTTGAGTGAGTCTTTAAACCGTTCCTTCAACTACACGTTCAAAAACGCCGATTCATTCATTCAAAGAGAGACATAATGAAACATGCTGTTGAAATAATTTTAACTTTGAGCGCCACTTTAGAAGGCTCAGCTGACCAGCTATGCGTCGATGCTAAGACAGAGATTTAGCTTTCCTTGGACATGACAACCTATTTTCACAAATATATATGACTCGGCCTGGAGGACAGATGCAAGTAATCGCACGCGCTCAGTCGATCTCTCTCTCATTCCCTGTCTGTTTAGGCTTAAGTGAAAATCTACGAAGCCTCTGTTTATGTTATCATTACTAACTTGTTTAATATTCAGTCCACATGCATGAAGTGTAAAACGAGAAGGGCATAACCTTACGAAAAAAGAAAACGCGCAAAAATCGTGTTTGCTGCGGTTCTTTAGCGTTGGGTCGTTCTTGAACGATTCGTTAATTTTGAACGAATCTTTAATGTGACTCGGGAAGAACGAGTCGTCTCGGGGAGTGATTCGTTCAGTCGCGCATGCGCAACATCCTATAGGTTCTGTACTGGAATTAGTCAAGTAGTTCACCTGGTTCGAGTCTTCGGGTTTTTCTGAGTCGTTTGTTCGTTCATCACGTGACAGCCCCATACGCTTTAACCAATGCAGTCTGAGCCGGAAAGAGACTTAATAATAATAACCAACTCTGTTACCTTTGTTACAACATTCAGTGTTATGGAAAAGAACCATAATGACAGAAATTCCCACATTTGCAAGAAGTAAAAAGCTACAATTTGAGACCAGAAACGCATCACGTAACTGTAAGAGTAAATAATGATGATAATAATAACTATGCACCCGTTTGTAAGGAAGCTTGTAAATTAACTAATTTCTCTATCCAATGCTGTCACGTGACAAAAGAACGAACGATTCGAAAGACTGGAGAGATGAACTAATCCATTCTCTTTCTGGCTCAGACTGCATTGGTTAAAGTCTATGGGGCTGTCACGTGATGAACGAACGACTCAAACCAGAAGACTTGTTAGATAAGAGGTGAGGTGAGCTAATCATAGACTGAAGACCCAGGTAAACAATGAATTAATCTTTTCTGTTTCTTAGCAGTTTTGTATTGTTTGTAGTGTGATCAACGTTTGCGTAAGTAGTAGACGTATTAGGGAAGGAACACGTAACATTTTAATTATATTTTGCTAAAATGAACGAAATGACTCGGAAAAAAGATTTGTTCATTTTGCTGAATGAGACTCAAAGGTCCGAGTCTGTAAAATGATCTGAACTTCCCATCACTACGGTTCTTGCATTCCTCTGCAGTTTGCTCTTCAAAAGCGCGATATTGCGGTTATCGCGACAGCCGTAGTGAAATCGCTCAGGAAATCTGTCCTGTGTTGCCTGCACTCGAGACGCTGACGTGTGAGCGCCACTGACAGATTCTTCATTCCTATTGGTTGTCGCTCGCAAAATTCGCTGTTCATTTGCATAGTTAAACAATTCGTAACTTTTGTCGCTTGACTCGCATCGCTTGACACGCCCACATTCTGTCGCCAACGGTCACTGTCGCCGGAAGTCGCCAGCTCTCCATTGAAAATTAATGGGAGCATGTCGCTTTGTCGCTGTGTGTCTCTGGCAGTATGAACAGGGCTTTACACTACTCAGTGACTTGTAATCTTGTAATGTCATCTGTATGGTTCTGTTGATGGAGCAATCCTGTGTTTGCATCTCTCTAGTATTTCCTCTCCTCCTACTACAAGTGTGTATCAGTGGGTGGGGCTAAAGAGGCAGTGATGTAGAAGCAGACATTGATCTTCTCTTGCGGAAGCGGGCTTTTGCTGCACTATTATGTCATAAAGTGGCACATTCCAAAACAAGTCGTTTTCTGAGCTTGGTTTCAATAAAAGCTGTAACAGGAAAGTTTTGAAGCTTGCAGGATGTTTTTATTGTACATTTGACCTGTTATATGTCGAAAGATCAAGGGAAATTTGATTTCTCAGTTCATGACCCCTTTAAATAAATTTTTCTTTTTTCTTTTTTTCACTAATATTGTTCCAAACCTGTATGGCATTATATTTTCTGTGAGGTTCTAAAGGAGATTTGTGAGAAATATTCATGTAGCTCTGAGAATAGAAAGACAGTTTGTCTGTTAAGCTCCCAAAATTACAAATAAGCAACAAAAAGTACCATAAAAGTAGTAAATATTACTTGTTTGTGATGCTTAGTCTTCTGAAGCAATACAGTAGCTTTGTCTGGGACACAGATCGAAATTTACATTGATTCACTTCAAAAAACGTTAAATGGGTGCACAAGTCTGTGAACAGTTATTTAACATCACAGGACATAGAAAGCAACTTTGTGTTTTTGTTCTGTTTTTGTCCAACAGAACAAAGAGCATCCACTCCTGTCCGCCAGCAAAACCGCGGTGAGGACCTTGATCGTGAAGAGAGAAAAGATGATCGAAGGGATGAAAGACGTGATGACCGCATGCGTGAGAGAGAGAAGGACAGGGATAGAGAAAGAGAGAGGGAACGGGAAAGAGAGAAGGAGAGAGAGAGGGAGAAAGAACGGGAAAGAGAGGCTGAAAGAGAACGTGAAAGAGCCAAGGAGAGAGAGCGGGAGAGGGAGAGGGAAAAAGAGCGAGAGAGGGAGAGGGAGGAGAGAGAAAGAGAGCGGGAAAGAGAAAGAGAGGAGCGGGAAAGGGAGCGAGAAGAGCGGGAGAAAGAAAGGGAACGAGAGAGGAAGGAGAGGGAACGGGAAAGGGAGCAAAGAGAGAGGGAACGGCAGAGGGAGTGGGACGAGAGAGAAAAAGGGAGGGAAGAGAGGCGGGACCGAAGAGAGGAGTCGCGAGATGACCGCTCCACCCGAGATGCTCATGAAGAGAGAAAGAACACGTAAGTGCTCCAGTGTTATTAGTCATGTTTACGTACAATCTATCTGGAATCGGTAAACCATTTACTGAGAAAATATACAGTTTAGCAGCCATTATACAATTATAAGACTTAATTGTCCATGGAAACATACTGGTGCTGCTTAATCACTTTGCAGTCTCTTTCTTTTCATACTAAGGGAACACCGATGTTGAAAATATCTGACTGATAAAGATTAGACGATAATTATTTTTCACATTATCGGCCTTTTAAATTAGTCTATTTTGACTACATTAAAAAATAAAACATACAAACTAAAATCAGTCATTTTAAATTCTTCAACTGAATTTAGATGTCGCAGTATTGCAATTTTCAGTATAAAAAAATGGATATTGATTTTGAGATTCAAAAGATTACTGTTTTTAAAGAGTAACTTTAAAGCACTCAGCATTAATTGACTCCAATAAATAAAATCTTTTAAGTGGCAGCCGATAACCAGTATATTTTATTAATATATCATGCTTTCCTTTTTCATATGAACACAAGTCAGAACCTCATTTGTGCCATTTTACAACTTTAATGGTTAGCTGTAGAGTGTTGAAAAGATTGTCTTGTGGACTTCAGCTTTAATTGTAATATATATGGTGATAGAGAGAGATAGATGTATACCCATAAATCGAAAGCTATAAGCTCTGAAATCACCTAATAATGCAGAATATTTCATGATATTGTTCAGCTGGTAGTACATTTACACTACCGTTCAAAACTTTGGGGTGAGGGTTAATTTGGGGGGTGGATTTTACAAAAGACTTCAGATTTTTCATCATTGATGATAAGAAGAAATGTTTCTTGAGCAGCAAATCAGCATATTAGAATGATTTCTGAAGGATCATGTGACACTGAAGACTGGAGTAATGGTTGGTGAAAATTCAGCTTCACATCACCAGAATAAAATGCTTTTTAACCTATATTTACATAGAAAACTGTTTGTAGTAATATTTCATAATATTACTGTTTTTCTGTATTTTTGATCAAATAAATGCAGCCTTGACGAGTATTAGAGACTTATTTGAAACGCATTAAGAAATTTTACAGACCAGAACTTTTGAACGCTAGTGTACATGTTATAAACAGTTTGACATTAGAGATTTTCTCAGGTGTTCAATATTGTTTGTTTGCCCTTCACTTTGTTTGCAGTCGTAAGAGACATCGTGCTGAGAACACTCCCAGTCCACGGCCATCTCCTAAAAGAGGTCGAGATGTGAGCCCTGCAGACAGTGACGGTTACAACAGCACTGAGGAGAAAGGTAGGAGTTCAACTGAGCAAGGTTATGGTTACACCCATTAGCACTTGGTGTAACCTTCCTCATAGGTCTATTGTGCACACATGCAGAATATTTGGACATAACATGTATGGTTTTGTTTCAGGCGATAAGCACCGACTGCTGAGTCAAGTGGTTCGTCCTCAAGAAACTGCCCGCTCGCCTGCCCACTCCTTTACTGATGATAAACACAACCGCTGGAAGGATGATGACCGTCGTGTGGATAAAAAAGAAAGCCGTGGCCGACACGAGGAGGGGGATTCCCGCGGTGGAAGAGGAGCAGAGCGACGTGAAGAACATGCTCCAGACATTTCTGCTACGGGCATTTCTGACTCTAGAAGGGGAAAAGAGCAGAGGGACCTCCCTACTGCCGCCCTCACTCCTCCTCCTCCTCCTATAGAGGACAGAGACTCTTTATCAGCCGTTCATGAAGAGGGGAAGAAAAAGACTAAATCTCAGAAGAAAAATCTGAAGAAGAACCGTAAAGAGGAGGAATCTGGCGGGGGGGACCGTAGTAACCCCGAGCCCCCGTCCTCCTCTGTAGCTGAAGCCCCCCAGGCTCTCCTGTCACCTCGCAAGACAGCCAAGAAGAAAGCCTTAGAAAGGAAGCGCAAGCGCTCACTGGGTCCGGAGTCAGATGTATCTGAGGATGAGCTGGTCGCCCAGCATCCCCTCAGCAAGAGGCGACGAGGCCCACGTACACCTCCGCCAATCAACAAGGATGACCTTCCTTCCCAGAGGGCTTTAATGGCTGGACCGAGTTCTCTCTCTGCTAAAATGGATGCCAACTTCAGTGACTGGTCTGATGAGGATGTACCAGAGCGGGGCGAGACAACTTCTGCCTCCCTGCCATCCGATAGGCCACCGGAGCGGCTGCTTCCCTCTGAACGTCCCCCTAGAAGGGGTGCACGTGGTGGCGGCCGGGACCGTACAGACCCCCCCATCGCCCCGCTGCTCCCTGACCCTCCAATGCTGATACAGTCTCTTCCTTTACAACCATTACTGCCACAACACATGCTGCGTAAACCACCCCAAGCAGACATGCAGCAGCAGCGCAGCAGTAGCATGGGCAGTAACCAAAGCCGTGCGTCTTCGAGAAGGCTACGCTCGCCCTCCAATGAGTCGGCCCACCGTGATGAAGGCCCTCAGGGACTCAGGCCCCGCAGAGGACTCATGCAAGGTGGCAATTCTCGGGAGAGAGAGCGAGAGAGGGAATGGGAACGGGAGAGGGAGAGAGACCGGGAGAGGGCAGCGGCCAGTGAACAGATGGGAGGAGAGAGGAAGTCGAGGATTGATCAGCTCCGGAGAGGAGAACCTAGTCGAAGTACTTCCTCAGGTGAGACTACTCGTAAAAGCTTGGAGTGTTAAAGAATTTTTGTTTGTATTATTGTTAAATATATTATTTTATATTACATTTAAGTTTAATGATGTGTATAAGAACTACTACTGCTAATAATACTAATATGTTTTAAGTAGTTGTATTATACACATTTATTAATGCCTTAAGGTATTTCTAGTAAAAGTTTTTTATACTAGAGGGTTTTGAATGCAAATCATCATTTTCAGTAGGTTGGTATTAAAAATATTCGAAATGCAATGTGAATGCAAAATGCAATAAGTCCATTAAATATATTCGTGTATCTTAACTCTGGTGCTCTGGATGATGTGTTAAAGAATTCCTAAGCAGTTGGTATTGTGGGTTTTATTTTTTATTTATTTATTTTAATTTCTTTGTAACTTGTAAAGTTAAAGTTTTGAATTCTATGTAATACATATGTAAATATTTATCGGCTTCCACAGACCGACAGGACTCCCGGAGTCACAGTTCTCGTCGTAGTTCACCAGAGTCTGAGCGTCAGGCTCGCTCCAGAGCCGGCTCCTACGACAGCCGTGAGCGGGAACGAGATCGTGATCAGTTGGATCGAGAGCGTGAGAAAAAGGATCACCGTCAGATGCAAAATCAACAAACCCAACAGCGAGACTGGGACCCAGAACCTCGTGAGTGGGGTGGGCGGGGCAGAGAGCCCCTCCTCCGTGGCAGCCGTGAGCCAATTAGAGAGAGAGACTTGCGGGAGATGAGGGAACGACTCCTACCTGAAGGGTTGCTGGCACATGAGCGAATGGATCGTGAGCGTGGTGAAAGGGACCGTGAGCGTGAACGGGAAAGGATGCTTCCGTTTGACCTTCAGGCTCACAGGGAACCAAAGAGCAGATCTGAAACTAAGATGGAGAGGGGAGAGTATGAGCCTCTGTTACCCAGAGAAGCCCTCATGGATGTAGATAAGCCAGCCGACAACTCACACCTGCAAGTGGAAGCATCTGAACCCAAAATGGATAGTCTTGATGGTAGGTCTTTTTTCTCACCATTTCTCAAATTATTGCCTGATGTGTAAGAAGATTTAGTTTTTTAATGTGTGTATATGTCTATCTCTCAGAAGAGGAGGATGGAAAGGGGGATGATGCACAGTCTGCTGTCTCAGATGGTGAGGAGTATGAGCCAATCAGTGATGATGAACTGGACGAGATTCTGGCTGACAGTCAAAAGAGGGACGAACAGCAAGATGATGAAAAGATTTCTGGTACATAACACCACTTAAAACAAGATCCCATGAAGACGCATTTAAAATCTGTGTAAAGTCAGTTCTGAGAATTGTTTCTAAATGCATTAGAAATGTTAGAAATGCATTGCTGAAACATGTTACAAAGACTTTGAACTATGTAGTCCTTAATTGTGGAATTAGACTGTTAAAACAGTCTTTCACAATTTTCGTGTTCAGGTTTTTTTGGGCGGGGCTAAAATCATGACTCGATGACGCAATTGAGCCACTGAGCATGACCCCTCCCCTAACACTATAATAAGAGGTGTGTTCGACTTGAAGCAGCGCTGCACAGACCGATCGGTATGTGACATCAAAGTACAGTGAGAGCTATAGAGAGCAGACGGCTCCTTGCTTTCGAATTCCTCTTGCAGTACTTTGATGTCATATGCTGACGTTCTGCACAGCACCACTTCAAGTCGAACACGCCTAATAACTAGAGCACATTAGCATAAGCTAATTACCGTTAGTTACGATAGCCTACAGTTTTCTAGCTAGCTATGCCTTCGTCACGTAAATGCATAATACCTGGTTGCGATAATTTACAAAAAAGCTCAGTCTCCTTATTTAAATTTATTTGCATTTGATCGTTGAGAGAGACAACAGCTTTCTTGTGAGTGGGCGTGGTTTCCAGCGGACACGCCCCCAGTGTTTGAGAGCAGAGAATACTGCTTATTTTTTCAAGATTTTGATGCCTTATTTTATTTACTTGGCGTTTTTTTTTAGCATTCAAATTTGGCTGAGTGGTTAACACATTTTTCTGTGGTGTGACAAACTCAGAACACACATTTGATATCTCTTTACACAGACTTTAAATCAAATGTCCTGCCACAGTCTAATCTGTCCCACCACAATTTCACAGTGAACTGAATATATTTTTACACTTCTTTTAGTGATATGTCAATCATACTAAATTAAAATCCTGATTTGGCTTGGTGTGCTTAAACTGCTTATCAAAAAAGTCTGTGATGTAAATATAGAGTCAGATGTTTTCCGTTTTTCAGGGCAAAGCACGACTTGGTTCACAGTAAATACAGTGAACACCATCTCTGCATGAACTGAGTTTAACTTGCTTTTATGAATGCAACATGCACAAGTTATGCTTTACTTTCAAATTGGGATGGTCCCAATTTGTAAACTTGTTGTCAGAGAAACTTAAAGGGTAGTTTTACGCCAAAATAAAAGCTTGAGGATTTAATGTGAAGAAACTGTGGAGAAAAACATACATATTGTAATTTAACTACTGTAAAATAATGAATATACTTCTTTTTCATTAAATATTCTTTTTATTTTAATAACAACAACGTGGACTGAGACACTATCACAACTAAGTCCACTGGAAGTCAATGCAAAGACTTTTTTATTACTCCATTCAAAAGCTCTTAATTTGGATTTTTTAAACTTTGCTATCACAATGCACCAGATTAATGCATTTAATTTTAAAATGTTCAAAATCTTCTTCTGGGGGAGCATAACTCCATACCTATCTAGAGGGGTCGAGGTCCACCCACCAACAAAGTCGTTTAGTTTTTATGTAATTGCTGAAATGGATTGTTAAATCAGGTCAAGAACACTTCAAATGCATGTGTCTGCAGTGACAAAGGCAGCAATATTGCATATGCCTCCTTTTGCCATGTTTATCATTATCTGCATAATGCATGTGTTCAGATTTGGATATGGCCCTCATGAAAAATATAATTGAAAAATATAATCGATGATCAAGTTTGCATTGTGACTATAACAATGAATGTGGACATTCTAGCCAAAAAAGTTAAATAAAAACTCTGCTCTGGCCATATGTAATTTTCATTTTGAACAGTCTATTAAATGAATTTTTACAGAATAATACACACACTGACAAAGACATAAGCAGAAACTGTGTAATCACAGTCTGAAAATTCCTCTATCCCAGGGGTCTTCAACTAAAATAGCTTGAGGTCCAGTAATGAACCCTCCTCACCAGCCGAGATCCAGACAATTATATACCTAAAAACATGAATTGACAGTTTTTGCCAGACCAGGGTATCTGCAGGATATTTAAGCGCATATTTGATACATTTTAAGACCTGGAGCCCGTTCTTCGTACGTCGCTAACTCTGTTAGCTGGATTTGATTGTTGACGATTTGGCATGATCGTGGATTGTTTGGTTCTTCGAAGCTCATCCCGTAGTTGCTGTCGTAGCAACAGGTCCGTAAGCTTAAACCTGCTCGGGAGCAGGCTTATTTCATGTAAACAGGAATAGATTGCATCTTTTTAAGCAGAATTGATGCTTAAAATCTGTCTGCTACCACTGCTACTTTATTACAAGAGTACCCTACTAATCCAGGGACAAAAAATTTAAATGTTCATTTAAATATTATTTTAAAGATAATATAATAATGTTGTGTAGTCTTTAACCCTTGTGCGACCTTTTGGACATTTTTGTCCTTTTCAGTTTAGTTTTTTTGATAGTTTTGCCTGTGTTATTGCCAACTGTATACATTTTGGCACAGGTGTGTATTTTTATTGGAATTTTACTATTTCACTTCCATTTCCTTTAATAAAAAAGTTTTGCACTAGGTACAAAAAAATAGTTCCTCTCAGGACCTTAAGGACAAAATTGTCCCCATTGACACCCATTAAAACTGCTATTTTTAAACGCAGTGCCATTTAACTGTAAAATTATGCAATTTTTGTTGATAGGCTTTCATTCTATTGGCAAGACTTTAAATTTAAATTTTTTACAATTTTTTTACCAGATGGTGCCATTTTTTTTTTTCAGATTTGACCTATAAAAAAATACTCGCTTTATTTCTGTTTTCTGCTTATGCATATTATAGAGCCAATTGGATAAATAATGCAGCTATTATTGTGTGGGTGTGTTGGTATGGATGTCAGTGTGGTTTGTATGCGTGTAAAAAAATAAAATTTTGTGCGCGTGTTCTTGTAATATTTGAGAGAGAAAAATTCTAGAAAATTTGGTACTGCACCCAAACAAAATCTTACTGAAAGCTCATTTTTTGAGATATCAACCTCAAATTTGCAATACAACTTGTTTAGATGTATGGCTTTGATTTTCTAGCAGGTATAGAGTTCAACATGTTTCATAAAATATATATTTTATATAAAACATCGTTCATAAATCATTTTCATAAACCTAAACATCTAGAACTTTTTTTTTTGGTTTAACTTTTTAAACTTTTTTTACTTCAACAATAATCTGCCATGGGTCTTCTTTAAAATGAGACCAAACTTAACTCCTTCAAACTTAACGCTTCAAATTTTTATGACAGTTTTTTGACATATACATTTTTGTCCACTATGGACCTATGTGTAACTTTTTTTTTTTAATTGACGCACAAGGGTTAATACTATAGACACAGCCAGTTTTACTCACTGAAAGATTTATTCGTCATAAAATTATTACTTCATAATTGTTTTCGAGTCTTACACGCATTCTATACAGATAATGTAGAGTCGTGCATTAATTTGAGTGATGACAGCTATTATGGGAGTGGCTTGATGGAGCGCAGGAGATGCAGATAACATGATCTTGACCCTTAAGGAACTTTAATTAATACTGGCAGTCACGTAACAAATCTGTTCAAATATAAAATTAAATGAATTGCTAATTACTACATTGAAATAAAAATTTAAAGCCTGTACAAATATTAGAAATAGTGAATATAAATAATTGAGAATCGTGTAAAAAAATTTAAATGAAATAAAAACTGTGCACATTTAATTTATCTATTATAACATTTATGTAGTTTTGTTCACTTGGCTGTTTCTTTATAAAAGTCCAAAAATTTGTCAAGTTTTTCATCAGGTATCTTTATTATATATGATGTCATACGTTGCTGTCTTGCTGCCAGCCAATCGCTGCATTGCTGATCGTGGTTTCGAGTATCGATACATAGCCCCTTTTAAACCAACCCATGAACGCGCAATTATCGGATAACTCAATCCAGCCATACTAAGCATCAACAACAGGTGCGTTTGAAGAACCGAATTAGCCAGATCCTGATTATCGCGATGATATCATCTTGGATGTGACATTTCATCTCGGATTTAATAAGCCACGTACGAAGAACGGGCCCCTTCACAAAATGACTGTAAAAAGCATGATTTACAGTTCAGATACAGGGTTTCAGAATTTCACATTTCATTTTTTTTTTTTCAAAAGTAAAAAAAAAAGTAGTCAAAAGTATCAATTATATTCATTTCAACAATTATTATCAATCATTATATTAATTAAATAACTTATAAATGTTACAATACTGTCTTAATTGTTTATATTTTTATAATGCATTATCTTCTTGTCGATCCACCAGTTCACATTTACAACTCTGCATGTTTTCTGCGTAAAAACATTGGCTGATTTTCACATTGATCTGAACAAAAACAGCAGACTGGCTAATTGAAAATGTTAATTTTGGAATGGCATAAATAAAGCGGTTTCCCCGGTAACTGCTGTACAGCAGCAGCTGACTTTGAAACGTGGAGCAATCATATTTATTCAGTGAAATCGCAGCCTTTTGAAGTTTAATCGTCACATTAAGCCATATCGCTATTCTTGTCTTTCCATCCCCAAATTTATATCCCATATCCCAACTGTTTATAATATGACATTTGCATGTTCTGTTTCAGGGCCTCTAGATGTGATTGATGTAGATTGGTCCAGTTTGATGCCCAAGCAAAAACAGGAGCTCAGAACTCCTGGGGCAGCTCTTCTCCGATTCACCCCGGGGGCTGTTTTGCTCAGAGCGGGAGTGTCCAGACGCTTAGCTGGGCCTCAGCTCCTTGCCAGAGTTAAAGAAGTGTGTTCCAGAGAGCTGGAAGACCCTAAAGGTAAATGTGCAAATCTACCTTTGAAGGAATGCTCCCGTTTGAAAGGAACAGCTCACCCAAACATGAAAATTTGCTGAAAATGTACTCACCCTCAGGCCATCCAAGTTAGAGATGAGTTACTTCATTGGAACAGATTTAGAGAAATGTAGCATTAAAATGCTTGCTTACGAATGGATCCTCTGCAGTGAATGGGTGCCGTCGGAATGAGGGTCCGAATAACTGATACAAACATAAAAAAAAATCCACAAGAAATCCACACGACTACAGTCCATCAATTAATGTCTTGTGAAGTGAAAAGCTGTGTGTTTGTAAGAAACAAATCCATCGTTAAAGGGGTCATATGTTTTCATATGTCAATATCGTATACGAAATCATATACGATTTAAATTTTTCCTTTCTCTTTGGAGTGTTACAAGCTTTTGGTGCATAAAGAAGATCTGTAAAGTTGCAAAGACTAAAGTCTCAAATACAAAGAGATATTCTTTATAAAAGTTAAGATTCAGCCACACCTACCTAAAACGGCTCGTTCTAACACGCCCCCACATATCTACTTCACGATGTGGGTAGATTTGCATAACGCCGCCCAAGTGCAGCACATTTTATGGAGGACAAGGACCGTTTCCTGGGAGAGTAGCCTACAATGCTATACACAACATACAACTGATGTCTGTTTCTATAAAGTGGGGCATCCCCACTGGATGCAACAAATGCCTCGTTTATAATGGGTTTTACCGGTTTTGTCTCGTCGCGCCGGGACACGGCATCACAATATGGTAAGGGGCGTAACATTTCTGTCACACGCTTGAGGTATTCGGCCAATCACAATGCACTGGATAGCTGGCCAATCAGAGCACACCTCGCTTTTCAGACCGATGAGCTTTGTAAAAATTGACGCGTTTCAGAAAGGCGGGGCATAGAGGAGAACCAGTAATGTACATTGTGGAAAATAATGTGTTTTTTTTTACCTTAAACTGCATAAACCGATTGCATTACACCAAATACATAAAATAATGTTCTTTTTAGCAACATCATATGACCCCTTTAAGCAGAGGTGGGGGCAAGTCACACATTTTCAAGTCTCAAGCAAGTCTCAAGTCCCTACCAGCAAGTCTCAAGTCACAGTACAAACAAATCAAGCAAGTTAAGTCAGTGGCTCACCTCAAGCAAGTCAAGTCGAGTCCTGCTAAGGATCAAGTCAAGTCACAGTATCAGACAAGAACAAATATTTTTTTGCCACACAACCTTATTAATTTTTCCTCAGAAATTAACTTAATTATAAATTTTAAATATCAGAGCACACCTCGCTTTTCAGACCGATGAGCTTTGTAAAAATTGACGCGTTTCAGAAAGGCGGGGCATAGAGGAGAACCAGTAATGTACATTGTGGAAAATAATGTGTTTTTTTTTACCTTAAACTGCATAAACCGATTGCATTACACCAAATACATAAAATAATGTTCTTTTTAGCAACATCATATGACCCCTTTAAGCAGAGGTGGGGGCAAGTCACACATTTTCAAGTCTCAAGCAAGTCTCAAGTCCCTACCAGCAAGTCTCAAGTCACAGTACAAACAAATCAAGCAAGTTAAGTCAGTGGCTCACCTCAAGCAAGTCAAGTCGAGTCCTGCTAAGGATCAAGTCAAGTCACAGTATCAGACAAGAACAAATATTTTTTTGCCACACAACCTTATTAATTTTTCCTCAGAAATTAACTTAATTATAAATTTTAAATAATGTTGTAAATATAACATTTTGAATATAGGCAAAATACTACTTTGTATACCGCTAAAATCTGTAATTGAGAAAATATTGATAAAAATACAAGATAAAAATATGTATATCATATTTGTTATATTGAGTTTGACCATCTCTTAGGATGGTCAAACTCAATATAACATAAATATGAGATAATATTTAACAGATGTTGGAAAATTATTTTGCACTAAATTTATCCAGCGAAGACTGGGATTCAGTCTGGGAGCACGCTAAAATAAAGTCAAGTCCTGCCGAGTCATGAAGGTCAAGTCAAGTCTCAAGTCACTGGATCTCAAGTCCAAGTCAAGTCATTTTCTTTATTTAGTCAAGCAAGTCACAAGTCCTTAAATTTGCGACTCGAGTCCCCCACCTCTGCCTTTAAGACATTTCAACTCCAAAATCCTGCTTCTGGCTAAAATACTCTATAATAGTCCTCTATAATATTGTGTTCTCCAGTGAATATGTTGTCTCGTCTGAATCAGGAGAGAAATTTGCACAGATCAAGCACCGTTTACAAGTCAAAACAGTTCCAAACAAATATTTTGATGTGAGAGGACAACAGGGGATGGGCTTTTTCACTGGAGGAAGCGTCATCATGGATAAAGGACTCATATTTTAGCCTAACACAATGGTTTGAAGTAAAATCTTAATACATTTGTTTCTTACAAACACACACTTCACAAGACGTTAATTGATGGATAGGAGTCGTGTGGATTGTGTTTTAATCATAGACTGTATAAAAACATGGGCGTAGTGTCTGTGACGTCACCCGTAGGTTTCTGAAGAGCATTCTATGGGATCGACTCTTTTGGAGCCAGCTCTAGTGGCCAGTCAATGAATTGCAGTTGAAGTCACTTCCGTGTTTGTTTCAAGAGAGACCGGAAGGTTGCCGCTTGGTTTTAATCAGCTGGTTTGACTCTCATTCTGATGGCACCCATTCACTGCAGAGGATCCATTGTTAATGTTTTTTTTTTTTTGCTAAATTTCTCTAAATCTGTTTTCACGAAGAAACTATTTGATCTACATCTTGAATGGCCTGAGGGTGAGAACATTTTCAGCAAATTTTTGTTTCAAATTAGGCTCTACATATGTATCAGTTACCGCAGATTTTTTTTGTTTTTGTGGTAATCAGTGTAGTTATACAAACATGGCTATTTACATGAGTGACTTTAATCTTATATGTATCCATAGATGCTGATAAACTCTTAGAGCATGATCTGGGTGCTCTGAACATGGCTGCATACAACAGAAGAATGGAGAGGGCCAACCTACTGAGGAGCCAGGGCCCTTGCTGCAAGGCACTGTGTGCTCGCAGAGACATTGCCATACGTAAACAGCTCCTGAAAAACGACAAGGTGGTCTTATGGTCTTTAATCACAGGCACTTATTTTGTATAACCTGGGCTTTCCCAAACAGTATTAATTGAGCTCTATTCTGGAACATGTTAAGCTGCCTCAGAGGATTTTAAGGCATCAAAAGCAGAATCGAAAGTAATTACTATGAGTATTTAATTAAATATATTTATTTCATTTAAATACTGAAGAGTATAGATAACTAAACTATAAAAACCAGGTTCCTGTATTACTATCAGGCAGCAAAAAATCTGACAAATTATGTTTTACCCTAACTTTTAGTGTAAATTTAATGCGATGAAAGTACACCACAAATTATACCATATATATATATATATATATATATATATATATATACACAAACGGCTGCAATATAACAAAGAGTGAAAAATTTAAGGGGGTGTGAATACTTTCCGTACCCACTGTGTATATATATATATATATATATATATATATATATATGCATATGCATCGTAGTTAAAAGGTTTGTGGTTGGTAAGATTTAAAATAAATATTTTATGCTCACCAGGGCTGCAATTATTTACTCAAATACAGTAAAACAGTAATATTGTGAAATATTAAAATTTAAAATAAATGTAAATAGTTTAAATTTAAACTGTAAAATCTAATTTATTCCTGTGATGCAATGCTGAATTTTCAGCATCATTACTCCAGTCTTCAGTGTCACATGATCCTTCAGAAATCATTCTAATATGGCGATTTGCTGCTCAAGAAACATTTCTTCTTATCATCAATGCTGAAACAATCATGTAATTGTGTAAATTGTAAATTCAACTCATTAGGCTTTTTTTTTTTTTTTTTTTTTTTTTTTTTAATGGATAGAAAGTTCAAAAGAACTGCATTTATGTAAAATAGATTTTTTTGTTAAAGGGGTCATATGACCATTAGTTTTACCATCAGTTCAAGCCCGAAAGGGGAACAGACACAGTAATGATGCAGTACACAAGCCGGGGTTAAGACAGCTGACTCTACTGTGATCGCTCTCTCGCTCTCTCTCGCTCTCCCTCTCAATTCAATTCAATTCAATTTAAGAGTGCTTTATTGGCATGACAAAAATTATACATTTGTATTGCCAAAGCAATTGCAGCTGGACTGCTTACAAATAGTACATATGTATTAACAGAAATAAAAAGAATAATAGTAATAATATATATAAAGTATTAAGCATGTAGTGCAAAATTAATGTAAGTATATAAACTAGAAATAAAAATAAAATAAGGGATTAGACATATTTACAGAAGCAAAATATACATCTAAGTAATATAATACAGTAATATTTTGCTGTGGGTTTAGAGAGCTGTGATTTCACTCTTGTGTGAAACACAACCAGGAACAGAGCAGAATCTGAGCCAGTAACAGAGATCAGAGTGGAAATATGTTGTTATTTACTGCCACATGCCTCAGTAAATTTAGTTATCATTTTGAGCTGGACTGTAAAATTTCCTCATAATAAGGTGTTTAGCAGATGTCAGTCAATAATTAAATTCACTGACATGTTTGTTTTTGTTTGGTTTAGTTTGTTTTGTTCATGGCTCGTGGCTGTTGCGAATTATCAAAAAGTACATGAACCTGACATGTTCTTCACCCTCCTGGTTATATTTAATTCAATTTGAAATAAAAGCTGTTCTTTTGAACTTTCTATTCATCAATGAATCCTGAAAAAAAAGATTGGGTTACACTTTACTTGAAGGGGTGTGCATAAGACTGACATGACACCTTCATAATCATAACATGACACATGTCATGAATATGAAGGAGATTTTATGCATGTTTATGACAACTGTCATTAAGTGTCATTCGCTCAGTTATGTCATTTTTAATGCAAATATGACATTATTTGACCTAACCCTACCCTTACCCTTAACCATAGCCCATCACAAAGACATCTCAAACAATGTCATCTTTGCATTAAAAATTACATAACTGAGCGAATGACACTTAATGACAGTTGTCATAAACATGCATAAAAAACCTTCATATTCATGACATGTGTCATGTTATGATTATGAAGGTGTCATGTCAGTCTTATGCACACCCCTTCAAGTAAAGTGTAACCAAGTCTTTACTATCACTTTTGGTCAGTTTAGTGCAGGGGTACTCAACAGGCGACCCTGAAGATTAATGTATTTTATTACAATTTGCGCTCAAAATATTAGGCAGTGAGATTTTTTTTTTATTAAATATATACAATCGCAGAAGTAAAAGCTCCTCGATCTCTGCAAGCACTGTAACTAACGTGCAATTAAAAAGGGACACGCGGCATGCTCCAAACAACTTCAAAAGAGAAGCATTACGACCTTACGTAAAAGTCCAACTAAAGAGAACATTTAATAACATGATTTTACTCCATAACATCAGTCGAGTGTTTGAAATAACTTCTGTGATCTGATGTGCAGTTTGTGTCACAGAACGAGGCAAATAATATATTCTATATGGTGATAAAGGCTGTCAATTAGGATTATAAGTGTACTTTATTATTATGAAAATACCAGAGATGGCTTGAAGAACACCGCTAAAACCATATATTGTCGCGTCTTATGTTTACTGTCATATATTGTTGGATATTTAAATAAATAGCCAGATCGCAAACAGATTCTATCACCCACGCAATCTTGTTCATAAATGATAATGATTCAACTGTCTATTAAAGCTTTAATCACACTGTAACATTCAAATCTGCGTTTGCGCTGCTGCTGACCAGAGACAGTATTTATATGAAACATCTTTACAAAGTCTTTTGTATCGTCATTTCTGTGTTACAAACATTCAAATAATCACAGAAGCACTGGAATAAAAGTTTATAGTTCAGATATAAACACTGCTGTCTACAGAAGCAATCAAAATAGAACAAGTCACTTTTTTGAAAGTGACAATACTTCAAAATAAAGATTGTATCAATTACAACGTAATGCCAGCAGATGGAGACAAAGTGACTTAAAATGAGATTTGTTCAAAAAACGTTGATTCATTCAGGAATGAAACAAGTGAAGTTTTTATGAGCAAGTCATGAAGTTATGAGCTATAAATCGTTTGTTTAACTTTTTTTTATCAATTTGTTGAATATTGTATTCTATAAATAGACTGCAGCAAATTTTACTAGAAACTCTAGGAAATTACATGTTATTTTGTTTAGTTGTCTGGTTTTGTTTTCAGAATTATGGTGGGAAAATAGTGATATCTATTTAAAAAAAAATGTAATATTGATACAATATATTTTATTTAAATATGAAAAATAATACTTCTTTCAAAAGAATTGAGAACTATATTTGCGCAAGAATACTCAGTTTGAGTATGTCCATTTTTTTGCATCAATATAGCAAAACAAACTTTTAATCAAATTTTGGTCCAGATTTTTACTCGTTTAAAAACAAATCTATCTATCTATCTATATATATTCATTCTCTGTGTTTTTTTAAATGGGACAAGCAAGATTCAGATAAGTAATAAACTATTTCTAAATCAGTAAATCTGCAAATATTGTCTTAATGTCTGATGATGCAAATTGTAATTTGTGGCCCTTCACATTTTATGTAGTTTTAATGCGGCCCGCTTGTACTCTGCACTTGAGTACCCCTGGTTTAGTTCATCCTTTTCTATTATTGTATTAAAGGGATCGTTCACCCAAAAATGAAAGTTACCCCATGATTTCCTTGCCCTCAAGCCATCCTAGATGTATATGACATTCTTCTTTCAGACGAATACAATCGGAGTTATATTAAATAATGTCCAGGCTAATCCATGCTTTATAATGGGAGTGGATGGCAGCCCAAAATTTTAAGTCCAAAAAATTGCACCCATCCATTATAAAAGAAGTCCACACGGCTCCGGGGGGTTAATTAAGGCCTTCTGAAGCGACGCAATGCATTTGTGTAAGACAAATATCCATATTTACAACTTTATAAACCTTGATCTCTAGCTGCCGCTAACTGTCGTACGTGCGTTCATTAGAGAGTGGCGTCCAGCGGATGACGAAGGACGTAGGCAAACGTGGTGACGAACGTGGAAGCGCAGAGGAGAGAGCGAAACAAAACACCGGTCACAAATTAGTAGTACAAAACGAGGATTTGTAAAGAAAAATGTCAGAGGATTTCGATATAAGCCAAGTGGACACTGGTTTTCCTTTGCTGTAAACAAAGCTTGTTTCTCGCAAGACTAGCATATTCTCACCAGAGCTTATGCTACGCATACGTCATCTGCTGGATGCCACTCTCTAGTGAACGTGCAACATAATTTAATATAACTCCGATTGTATTCATCTGAAAGAAGAATGTCATCTACACCTAGGATGGCTTGAGGGTGAGTAAATCATGGGGTAATTTTCATTTTTGGGTGAACTATCCCTTCAAGTATTGATTTCTTAACTTGTAACCTGAAGGTTGCGGGTTCGAGTCTCTGTATTGGCAGGGATTGTAGGTGGGGGGAGTGAATGTACAGCACCCTTTTCCACCTTCAATACCACAACTGAGGTGCCCTTGAGCAAGGCACTGAACCCCCGACTGCTCCCTGGCCGCCGCAGCAAAAATGACAACCCGTTGCTCCGGGTGTATGTTCACGGTGTGTGTGTGTGTGTGTGTGTGTGTGTGTATGTATATGTTCATTACTCTGCTGTGTGTGTGTGCGCGCACTTGGATGGGCTAAATGCAGAGCACAAATTCCGAGTATGGGACACTACAATTGGCCACACTTCACTTTCATCCAAGTATTTTTTTTTGTACTCCTTTAGTTTAAATTAGCTTAGGTGTACACGATCCAGTATTTGGTTTAATGCTTCTGTATTCCTCCTCATGTAGGGCACAACCAAGCAGATCTACACCAGTGCTCCAGTGGTGGACAGTGAACTTGTGCAACTGAGTTTACGTCTCTTTAAAAAGAAAATGGCTTCCAGCCTGTCCAGTGGACAGGAGAAGACCGATTCCGCCTCTGCAGCCCAACAGCTCAGCACACCAGCAGAGCTGTGCGTCTCCTGATTGTGCTCCGTGAGTACAGTCTGAAAGTACTGATCTCAGATCACCATCTCGATTATTTTCACACACTGAAACTGTTTAAGTCAGTGCTGATGGAGGATTGCTGCCCTAAACCTCAGAAGAACCATAGAGACTGGACATACTAGCCTGTGGAGATGCTGTCTAAGATTTCACAACCCTTGAACTTTGAATCAGAAGCGTGATAACCATGTACTGCATAAGAACTTTGTCATTTACATTTGTTTTAGAGAAGATTTTTGTAACGTTGCTGAATGTTTGTGGGATATACAATGGGTACTGAAGATGTACATTAAAATGACTGTATTATGTGCGTCTAACTTCTGTTCCCCTTGTTTTTTCCGTTTTAAAACATTTGTGATCCGTCTCAGCACTCTTGTTCAGTGATTCCTTGTTTTATTAAAATATGATTCAAGAAGAAAAGGTGGTTTTGTGTATCAACCTTGTTGCTCTAAAGTGTTATCTGTATTATAAAACTATAAAAAATTATTAGACACAGGAGGACATCGTTTTATTATATCACTACTATGTATAAATAAGACATTTCTTAAAAAAAACTATTTTAGGTTTCATTAGTAGTAAATATGCAAATGATGTGATCAAAATATTGGTTATATTTAAAATAGGTGCTGCATGAGATATTCAAATGTAGAAAGGGCATACTTTTCAAGATTTGTGTATAATGGTTTCATTGTCTTCCGCATTGGAGTCCTCCACTATCCCATCATGCTGTTCGAGACGGATGACGTGTCTGAGGAATCAGATGCTGCTACGCAGGCGGCAGCTTCGCTAGAGCTAGTGCTTAGAAATCACCAATGTCTGAATTCTGACCCGCATATCTACATTTCACGCATGTAAATACATCTACCGAATCCTTAACTAGTCGGTCGAGGCAAAATGGCCGTGTTCCTCCGTGTTGTCTTTGTGTTGCTTTTTCTGTGCGGGTCGTTGCGGGAAGCGTTGAGTTTCTATCTTCCTGGTTTGGCCCCTGTTAGCTTCTGTGAGAAAGAAGAGAGCGAAAAAAACAGCGACGTACCAGACTGCAAGGTAAATATTCATATTAATACGCGATTTTCATTCAAATGTATAAGACGTGCCGTGTTTCTCTGTAGTGGGGTCTATGCTGCGAAATGCTATTGCTGGGTGTCAGTTGTGGAAACGCTGTTGCATTGATAAAGAGAACAGCTAAACCTGCTAATTTCGTCTCTTTCAAAAACTTCGTCCTGCCATAAAACTGACTTTCGTAGTCGACTGGTCTGTGAACCTGCGAGTGAAGAGATTCGATCCATTCTCATGTGTCTCTCTCTCAAACTGGAATTTGACTGTAAAGAGAGAGTTCCCTTAAAAATGAAAATACTGTATTCGTTACTTCATTTCACCAAGATAAAGCAGCGTGAGCGCACAACAATTAGTATTTAGAAGTACCTTCACATGCAGGTTTCTGAAGAAATGTGGTTCATGAATTAATTGGATAAATCCCATTGACTAGTTATAAATTCGGTCTTGAATTCTTTATAATATTTTTGAATTGTGTAATATAATGTGTTTTTCTAATATGATCTGTGTGTCTATACATGAGGGAATAGCAGGTTGTTGGTGACACATGCACACATGTAAACTGGTTCAACAGGTGTGATGCGTTTCCTCTGTTTCCATGTCCTCATGTGGGGGTGGGTCATAATAATCCGTTAACAAGTGGGTGGTCAAATATACCTTGTTAAATGTTTCTATGATAGTAACAATAACCGTAGTAGCTGTGGCATTTTTGTTGGGAACTACGGTTCACATGGTAATTGTTTTTCTAAAAGCCCTTTATTCTAATCATTTGTAAAGATGCCCTCACATGAGTAATTGCATGTCAGAAAAGTTTATATGGAAGTAAATAATATAAACTTGAGTGACACTGAAAGAAAAAAGAAGGAATTACTGTGGACATTTCAACATTGCCATAACCTTTGATGCTACTCTTTTTGACAGTCAACCATTGAGCTGTTTGTGAACAGGCTGGATTCTGTGGAGTCTGTTTTGCCCTATGAATACACAGCGTGAGTATGAATTATACTGTATGTTATAGTATTTATTCATTTGAATCAGCTTTTAGTTTTATCCTTTTTTTTTATCTTCGTTTTAGTAATTTTGTTATATGCCTTTGTCATTTTGTATTAGTTTCTTAAAAATATTTCTATTTAGCTTTATTTTTATTGCATTTTTAGTCATTTTAGTACTTCGATTAAACTTATTTTGGTAACACTTTATTTTAAGGTGTCCTTGTTACACATGTTACATGTACTTACTATTAGAATAACAATGAATTATGCATAATTACATGCAAGTAACCTTAAGCCAAACCCAAATCATAACCATATAGTAAGTACATGTAGTTAATTAATATTACTCATATGTATAATTACACAGTAACAAGGGCACCTTAAAATAAAGTGTAACCCTTATTTTATTTCATTTATTACCCAAAGCAATGTTCCTCATTTTCATTTTTTCTTTTAATTTTGAGCTTTTCATCTAGTATAAATATATAATTAATTTTGTTTCAGCGTAGAAAAAAAACTACTTTTAGGCCTAGTTGTTTTAGTTATAGATATATAGATTTTAGATATCAACACTGTAATGGAGAACACTGAAGAAATTGCGTTTTTAACATGGTTTGCTCAAGATTTGCTATGCTTTTTGTATGGTTAACCTGTTAGTACTCACAGGTTTTGCTTTAGTAACTCTTTGAGGGAAAAACTGAAGAGAATGAAATGTAGCGCAAGGTTATTATAGTTTTGAATTTTTACATTTGTTTTATTTTAATACCGTTTTCAAATTTGCTATAAAATTCAGTTTAGTTTTTATTAGTTTAATTCATATTTTTTGTTAGTTTTAGTTTAGTTTTTATTTTGTGAACGCATTTTTATTTAGTTTTTATATAGTTTTAGTTTCAGTTTTAATTAAAGTTGAGCAGAATTAACAGATCACTTCCAGAGCGCAGGCCAAAGAAAGACGTAGGCATAATTTAACCTTAGTGAGGCAAACATAGCGACATAAAATTAACGCGTGCTGAGATTGATTAGATAGTAAAAGTATACAAATATATTTTTTACTAAATTAATCTACACAAGTCGCGCTTAATGACATATGTAATGATGTGTGTTGAGATATTTAGTATGAAAATAAATGTAGCCTGATTTGCATAGGCGGAGGGTGAACCAACTCCAGGGTAAGGCTCAAAGCAGTCAAATGTATTAAACATCATAAACCCATCTTTTTAAGCAAGGACCAGACATGGGTGTCATGTAGGCTAAAAAAATGTTTAATGGGACTGAATTTGTATTTAACGAGATTACAATTGAATAAAAACGTTAGAAATTGATAATTATATAATGTTTCCTTTCCACGGTTATTCAAACAGCGAATAAATTATATATAGAAAGTGACTATCACTAACATTGATCTATCGCGAGTTTAAGCACTCTCAAAAAAACAAAACTATCGTTATAATCACTGAAGCTGTTTACACTGTGAAATGAATCTCTTACTTGCATTGTACGTCCATCTGCGCTTTGTTGTTTATGATGAGAGAATTCGCAAGAGTCCGGAATTCAGTCAGCGAACGCGCGCACGCGCTCTCAACAAAACTGATCTGTTTAAACGATGACTCATCTGAACGCCTCTGATTGGCCATTGCATTCCTAAGCTCAACAGAATTGTGTGTGATTGGTTCAAATGCGCAACACTGTAAAAACGCCTAAAATGAAATACGGTGCAACATGAGCAGATCTTAATTTAATGCCGCAATCGACACTGTCTATTCAGATTCACTTTGTTAGCAACAGACGTAATAGATTTCATTTATTTGTGCAGGGGCATTTTTGTCCAATTTAGTGCCATTTTTGCCCCAAGTCCCCGTGGCCACACACTCCGCCTATGCTGATTTGGTTATGTCTTTTCTTATTTAACCATAATCATGATATTGTAACTGTGGTGTCTTGCTCACTTTTCCATGAGCAGCCATGCATCATTCAAAACTAGGACTAATGAAATTCAATAATAACGGCAATCGCATTTAAGAGTAAAGGCTTATATTTGAATGTTCTTTTCATTTATGAAGAATTATAAGCGTGTGTATGATGCACATTTGTTTAAAAGTCTGGCAGAGTGATCACAAGATCAAGATGCTAGGCAGAAGTTTTGTGTTTACAGAAAGGTTGCGCGTTCTCATCTTTTTTTTCTGTTAATTATCATGTTGCGCTGCATGTCTGATTTTCTTCAAAGCACCAACTAAGAAGAATGCCTAATGTTGGTTTGATTGCTTGTGTTACATGATAAAATAAATAATCTTGCTTACCTGATGTAATAGATTTAATGAGAGTGCGGTTCGGGTCACGACTCGCGGTCTTTGTCAAATGGTTGTGGTCTGGTACAGAATTAAATTAGAGCTGCTGTCAAATAATGGGTTGGGTGTTCTGTTAAGTACTGCTGGTGCACGTTTACCAAACAGGACCCGTGCAGGCTTTAAACTGCTTTGCGTCTCTCCGTCAGATAACCCCATGTGCGTGATGCGACATTACAGGCTATTTCCCTAAACCTCCACACAGCTCGTATATTTTTCCGCCAAGGGGTGAGAACGTAATGATTACGAAAACGATTATTTATTTTTGATAATTATTTTATTTCAGTTCGTTTTTCAATAACTGTTTTTAGTTTAATTTGTTTTTCAATTATTTTGACGTTTTTAGTTTATTTCAGTTTACAACATTTTTTTCTTCAATCGTTTTAGTTTTCGTTTACGAAAATAACCTTGATGTAGCGAGGGTGTCGCCGATACACTAGAGCAGTGTTTCTCAACCCTGGTCCTGAGCGCCCCCCAACACTGCACATTTTGTATGTCTCCCTTATCTGACACCCATTTCAGGTCCTGGAGTTTCTTTTAATGAGCTAATGAGTTGAATTAGGTGTGTTTGATTAGGGGGAGACACAAAATGTGCACTACTGGGGGGGGCACCCAGGACCAGGGTTGAGAAACACTGCACTGGAGAGACGGTGGAGAGGAAGGGGAGGGAAGTTTGAATGT